TACTATTGTGAGAAGGACGAGCGGCATGGAGGAGGAAATCGGCAAGGTAGGGGTTAGATTGGTTGAGGTAGGTCGAATGCAGTGGAGGTCGGCGGGATTTGGACTAACTCATGAGTGGAGTTCTTCGACTAGGTCAGGTCTCGCATGAAGATTGTAGTTTGTGATGGAAATTCAGACAAGGATGCTAGCTTGCAGAGTATAGGTGACAGACAGGAGGTCTTGGTTGGCAGGTTAGAAGAGGAGGGAAGTTTCACGTGTGTGTAGAGAAAACAAAGTCGAAGCCTCATCCTCATTTTATTGAAGTGGAGAGGAGCGCAGTCGAGGCTGTCGTCGCAAGATTTACACATAAATTTTGGGAGATGACCCAAGTGGCATCGAATTCAGCAGGATTTGAGCACGATTTCAAGAGAAAATCGGCAGGATTTTGAGACTCAACGGGTATAAGGTATGTATGCAGGATTTTTGTTTTGCTTTCTTCTCTCTTTTTGTTCTTTTATACATAGGTCAACATTATTATACAGAAAATAATTTAAGGTTGTAATTTCATAGGATAAGATAAGGTGTATGGGCTGGTGTTTAAATGTGTCACATTTCGAAGTTTCATGAACTGTGAAAAACTTGTTTATATAAAAGATAAAGAAAAACAATTTCTCTTTTAACACTGAATTTTTCCATAGTAGAACTTTAAATGTTTTAATTAAATATTTAGGATTAGCCATATTTATGAAATCTGACTAAATTAATTTTTTTGTCATAATTTTTTATCTTATTTATCTTGAGCGTCGTTTTTTAAAAACTATATATGACCAATGCTTCTATCTCTAAAAGTCATTGTTTTTTTCGTATTTCTGTATAATAGCCATACTGTTATGAAAAATTGTGGCTAAAATCTTCGAGTTACAAGTGCAATAGTGGCAATTATTATAATTATTATTTTTTTTTTTGATAATTTTAGTAAAAAAAATGTCTAAAGATATTATTTTGCCTCAATTTTATGATAAGCCATGACTAGAAATAAATATTTAATCACATTATGTTATATTACGCTTTACAAAAGCTTTTTCATAGTAAAACAGTCTTTAATGGTTAAATATGGTAAAAAATCAGATTCCTGGAGATATGGTGGTAAATGCAATGATAGTTATGGCTGTTGCTCGCTCAATCAGCAAGAAGATATGTTATGTATTATATGGAGAGACTGCTGTTCAGTCTCGAATTCTACCACTATTATATATAGGCTTTTAAGAGATTGTTTTAACATGGCTCAAGAAAAACCTCTTGTAGAAAAAGGTTTATCTCCTCACCTCTCAAATTCAACTTAAGTACTTAGGGTGATCTACAGCACCATTGCCAAATTTATTAATTATAAGATGCATGATGGTAGCACATACCCCTCTTACACAAAATTAAAAACAAAAATCACAAATATTGTTTCTTGCAGTCATCTTTTGTTTCTTCTTTAACTCTGCCCAAATGAGTGCTTATCAAACCCCATTTTCAATAAAACAAGTAACCCTTGCTAAAATTGTTTAAGGCCATTGCACATATGAGAAAATCATAATTACAAGTATCTTCTAAAAGCCTCAAAATTTCTAAATTTATTTTCATAAATAAAATGAGTAAAAATAAGATTGGCATTTTTTTAAAATTATATTTCATTTTTTTCTTTATTTTAATACAAAATAATTAATTTTAAATTATATTTCATAAATTGTAACACTATCGTTGTTAGGTTTCAAATTCTGGATCATAAAAATAGAAGGTTATGTTAGGTAGTCGACAACCAACTTGTTGAATAACAAGAATCATTTAATACATTGTGTTAATGCTTGGGCATTTTCTACAAGCGACGCGTTATAAGGCTTGAATATAGTGACAAGTGAGCAAGAGCCGCTGCACCGATGCCCAGGTGCAATCTTAAAAAGGCAAGGGTTCTCATATCATGGATGAATGTGGACAAAGAAGCTAGTCGATAAAATTAAAATTAGAATAAGAACGTGAAATATAGGTTCATTTACCAGCAAATTAATGAAATTAATAGATATTATGATTCATATGAAGATAAATATACTTTACATTCAGGAAACTAAATGGATTAAAGAGAATGCTAATAAGATTAATAGTTTAGAATTTAAATAATAGTATTTTAGTAGGAGTTGTACTAAAATGACGTAGGTGTGATTATAGATAAGAATTTGAAAGATAATGTTATAAAAATTAATAAAATTGTATATATAATTATAACTTTAAGTATTATTATTGATGTTAAGATTATTAATATTATAAGCGCTTATGCTCTTTAAATAAGTTTGAATATGTGTTCATAATTAAAATTTTAGAATGACCTAAAACGAATTTATACAAATGATACATTTTGAAGAAAGAGTTCTTATTAGAGGAGATTTAAACGATCTTGCTGGAAGAGAGGTGAATTTTAAAAACTTTCATGGTGACTAAGACTTTGGAGCAACTAAGGTGGTAATATCATATTAGATTTTCTTTTAACTAATAATTTTGTAATTGTTAATAGATTATTTAAAAAAATGAGAAGAGCATATCATTACTTATAAGAATGGTTATAGTAAAACTCAAATTGATTATTTTCTTATTAAAAAATAAATCATTTAGATTGCAAAGATTTTAAAATTATTTCGAGTGAAAATTTATGTACCCAAAACCGCTTATTAGTTTTAGACTATAAGATGGAGGGGCAAAAAATAAAAAAATAAAGTAAATCATTGTTCTAGGATTAGATGGAAATATTTAAAGAATATCAATAATAAATATTTTTTAATGTAATATTTTAAATCTTATGATTTTGTCAGTGTATAAGGAAAGTAATGTTATATGAGAAAAAGTAACTAGTGATGTTGCAAAAGTCATGCTTGAAATATTAAAGGAAAAGCTACTAATAATAAAAATAATTGTTGGTGGAATCAAAATGTGCAAGAAAATATAAAAAAATAAGAAGATTTATTATAAATATTTGTTTAGTTATAAAAATTTTGATAATTAGAAAAGATATAAAGTTACCCGTAAAAAGTCTAAGAAAATAATTTGCAATGCAAATATTTTAGCTTTTAATGAATTATATAATAGATTAGATGCTAAGGAGGATGAAATATATAAGTATAAGTTAGCTAAATAAAGAGATAGGAATAGTAAAGATTTAATTTAAGTAAAGTGTATCTAGGATGAAGAATAAAGGTGCTTTTATTAAAAAAAGGATATTCAACAACAGTGGATAAGATATTTTGTTAAACTTTTTAATGAAGATTATGAGAATACAATTGACTTTAGTGACCTTCGCATCCTGAATGAAAATAAAGATTTTTGCTTTTTTATTGGCGTATTAGTAAAGTTAAAGTTAAAGAGGCTTTAAAGAAAAAGAAGTATGGAAAAGCTATTAGATTTGATGATATTCTAATAGAGGTGTAGAATTGCTTAGGAGATGAAGGAATCTATTGGTTTATTAAACTTTTTTAATATTATTTTGAAGACTAAAAAGATGCCAGATGAGTAGATAATGAGTGTACTGATTCCTATTTTTAAGAATAACGGTGATGCAAAAGATTGTTCGAATTATAAAGTAATTAAGTTAATGTGCCATACTTTAAAACTATTGGAGAGAGTTATGTACCATAGGATCCTGCGTGACACTAATGTTTCTCAAAATCAATTTAATTTCATGCCAGGTAGGTCTACTACGGAAGCCATAATTATTGAGAGGTTTGATGAAGAAGTATAGAGAGAATAAGGATGGTATATATATGATTTTTATTGATTTAGAGAAAACATATGATAAAGTTCCAAAAAAGTTGCTATGGAGAGTTCTATACACGAAAGGAGTTAATAACGCTTCTATTCAAATCATTAAGGATATGTATGCAGGAATTGTTGCTTGTGTTCAAACACAAGGTAGTTTGGCCAAGTATTTTTCTATTTTAGTTGGTTTACATTCAGGCTCAATCTTAAGCTTATATCTTTTTGCTTTAGTCATGAATGTTCTCACTAGACATTTGCAAGAGGCTGTACCTTGGTGTATGATTTTTATTGATAATATTATTCTAGTTGATAAGATTTGAGAGAGTATTGAAGGTAAACTTGAATTATGGAGGTCGATCTTAAAGTCTAAAGGCTTTTGCTTGAGTAGATTTAAAACTAAATATATAGAATCTAATTTTAGTAATAATAAATCTAGTGGGAGGATTGTGACTTTGGGCAATCAAGTCATTAATAAGAGCACATGTTTTAGATATCTTGTGTCTATTGTTTAGAGTGATGGTGAAATAGATTGGGATGTTATTAGTAAAATTCAAGTTCGATGGTTGAAGTGGAAGAATGCATCGGACTTATTATGTGATAGAAAAGTCCGTTTCAAGCTTAAGGGAAAATTCTATAAGATGGTAGTGAGACCTACAATGTTTTATGGTGCATAATGTTGTCCAATAAAAAGACTTGGTTAGAAAATATTAGAAGTGATTTTTCTTTATTAAATTTAGATGAGAATTTGGATGACTGCAACTACTTGTAAATTCAATTATAAAAAAATATTTTCTTAGATGTTATTGAGTTAATTATATATTTTCTTTCAAATAAAAAAATAAACATAACTTTTCTTGTAACTATCATACTGGCAGAAGTCTATATAATACCCTGATGCATTTTTGTACCATGATAGATGATAGGAGATCACAAATAGAAGACATTAAAATAAAAATCGGCATGCGAATGATAAAAAACTAGTACTTCCAGGATGTACTTATTTCTTCTGCATAAATAACATTTACTACTGAGAATTTCACAATTTAACTTCGATAATTTACTTCTCAAATTGACATTAAAATACCAAGATATTCGGGGGAAAAACACATTTTTACTGTTCGCAAAATGCTGTGCATGAGATAAGAGACAAACGAGTTTGCTAATAAGCTAAGCTATTTAATCGCAAGAGTATTTTGGGTTAGACTTCTAATTCATCACACATGTTCATGTTTCCATTCCATAATGCTATTCTGCTCTTTAGATTATTATTACTATATCCCTACTCAATAGAAACAAGACAAGTTCCAGCTACAAGGAAGCTTCTTTCAAGAACTAAAAAAAAAAAATTACAATGGTAACTGAACTGTAGCATCACTTGGAAAGTAGATATTATATCAGAATAACAATTTGCACCATACAATAATTCCATTAGTGTCTACAATAGGATAGAATTGGCAAGGATAGACTCTCTCGCTCTTCTTGTTCATTAAGCTGAATTTAGTATCATATATCGCATAAAATAACTTCGAATAAAATGAATAATCATTAAGATGCTTACAGATTTCAGCTAGGGATGCCTCCTTCAGGCAGATCCCAATTATCATCCATGTCATCACTGGCCTTCTTGTTTGGACTATTTTCTTCTTGTGATGCTGAGCCGAATCTTTGCGCTGAAAACCGTCTGGGGGACAAAATATATTGAAGAGCAAAATTATAAAAAATCAAAAGATTGAGTAGAGAGGTAAGCAGAGGAATAATTGTTGTACATATTATAAAATTTTGAAAGCAGTTGTAAAGACAATTAGTAATGGAAAAAATTAGTTCAAGATATCCTGATTACAGTTTTGAGTAGAATGGGTCTAAAAAATTTACTTTAGGAGTGTAATATAAATTTTTTATTGATTCCATATACAACTAACCAAAACCAGAAATTTTCTATGAGTAATGTGAGTCTAGCACTATCCGAGAGTTAGTTTTCAATCAAGAATCTAGAAAAATGCATAGAAAAAGATCACAAATATTGTGGCATAAAGAAGGAAAACATTAAATTCAAATAAACATAATTAAGTTTATCAAGATGTACGAAAAATTAAAATTATAGCCAGGCAAGCAATTTTTCAACACAAAACAATAGCAAACTAAACATCTGAAAATATTAAAGCAACCTAAAGAATTTTAGGTAAAAACTGCATGGATTTATTGCATCTAAGAATACTATATAGTTCAGCACACTAAAGTGGTCCATCTGCGGCAGAAATATGTTTTAAAATTTGATTTTATTTTCACCCATTCTGAATGTGAAAAATATAAATTTTACTTTTGAAGAATTTTGAAGATGTTTGTAGATTTGAAATTTAAAACTTCATCCAACCAAATGAGGGAATCTAGGCATTATAAAGTCTAGGAAAACATCGCAGGTAAAAAGTAGTATATTTTGCACAAATAAACTACAAAATGCTTCATCAGTTGAATCAATGTAAAAGGGTAAAATTTTTTGACTGGTATATCGTGCCAAATGTTGCTCAAGATAGGTATCAAAATCATCAGATTTATTTTGAGATAAGTACAATAAATAAAAAATCAAAATTTTGTATTGAACTCTCAATACATAATAAATTCAACAGTTATTAGATCAATCATGAATAAAAATTTGATTAGAATATCATGAGCCATTTTTTTCCATGCATTTGGTTCAAGCTTTGTATTACATTTGTGAAGCGAAGACAACTTGAGTAATTTTGTTGTACAAAAATGCCACTAATACCAACTTTGCTATAATATTTCAAATGTACGTGCATAAAAAATAACCAGAGTAGGCCAATCAAAAATTGCAACCACTCAGACATACTACAGAACAGAAAACAAAATTTCAACAGTCGAAAGATTTTTCCATCAATAGGATTACCTAAAGAAGACCACATAATACATGTAGAAACCATATAAGAAACAAAAAGCTGGAAATAATAAATACGAGTAGCATTCTTGACCAATTTTTTTCTTTAGGAAAATTCAATGTCTTTGTGTCTCATATTAATAAGGGAGACCTAAAATATGCACATGAAATATTTTATACATATTTATCTACATATCACATCAAGAAATTTGAAACATAGTTCTCTATAATTCCTGGAAGCCTAGTGCTAACGTCATCAAATTGAGTTTGGATCTGATGCTATTAATAGGGTATCAATCTAGCATTAAGTCTGTAATATTAACATTATCAAATTTATGAAGTAAATAACCTATTTTCTTTAGATTGGCCAAATCTCCAATCTCCTTCTCATCGACCAATAATAATAATTGTCTAAGAGCCAAATTATATCGATGCCCCTTTAAGTGGTGAACAACCTCTTTATACTATTTTTCAACTAATGAAATTTTACATCTAAGTCAAGCTTCATGATTTGTGCCCTTCGGCCTTTTTTCATATAAAAATTCCCTCAATGAGGCGCTTGGAACTTCTATACCAACATAAATTTCACTCGTCTAATATAGAACTAAATCAAATTCTCTATCACACTTTAACAAAAGCACGGGCACTTGCATGAGGGTGATCATCAACTTCAAATTGCCATTTTAAAATGGCTTTAGGCTGCATTGCCTAGTAGGGGGATCTGATGCAAGGCATCATCATCACCATCATCATCGTCATTGTTCTAAAGTCTAGCATGTGTGTCTAAATTTTAGACCATTATATTTTAGGCCTTCTTATCATGATATTATATTGTAAGTCTATGTTATTGGGCTTTTGTGTTATGATATTATATTAGACATTTTCTTATGTCATAACCCCTGAAGGTTGTTTATGTTATTGGGAATGGTGATGGTAATAGGCATGATAATAGTGGTGAGTATGAAAAAAATTGTGGTAGGTTTAAAATTGTAGGTAAGTTTATGTATTTTATTCTATCCCTCTCATTTCTATAAATAGGGGGTCTCTTGTCAAAGAAGCATTTGATTTTAGAGTGAAAATTTTTTCTTGAGTTATTTCTCTTATTATATACTTCTACTCCTAAGTGAAGGACTAATTGAGTATATAAGTTCACTTCCTTTAGAGAAGGACTTCTTAGGAATGTAATCTTCATAACAACAGGCTATTCACAGAGGTCGACTTTAACTTATCCCTGATTCATCACTAATTACTTTAAATCCATCACAGGTTAGATTACTTATAGCTTTTATCTCTTTTTTTTCTTTAAATTAAACATCTAGAACGGTTAACATAACAATAACTTAAATCACTTCGTCTCCACTAAGTTTTATTATTGTGTTGTGCTCGGTAATAGTAGTGTTTATCATTATTCGTTGGTACTAACTTTAAGAATTATTAGTGTAATCATCTAATTACATTCATCATATACTAGATTGTCTTTATCCTCCATCATGATGGCTATATGGGTAACATATGTTTAATCCGATTGAATCTTGCTCAAATTAGAAGATCCTCATATTATCACCTGCACTAACATTACCACCCCACCACCATCTGATGTATTGTTTTTTTTTTTTAGCATGGGATATCAATCGATCAGCTTTCCTCAAAGACACCCTAAAAATTTTAATTATTAAGCCACTTATGTGTTACCACAAATCTTTAAATAAATGCAGTAGCACATTTGGCCTGCTTTCCAAGACTTCATAACAACATTAAATGCGATCAAGTTGGTTTTGAGTAAACCAATTGGTCCTTCCAAGTGGGACCTGACAACCCTTAGCATTCAATGTTGAGACTGCCAAGCTGCTAAAGACCTAGGAATAATGTAGGTTCACGGCCGACAACTATATGTAGGAGAATAATGACCTACCTCAATTAGCAAGTGGAAATCAACTATTTTTTAATGCCTTGTCTGCACCTGAAAACCTCTAGTTAGCTCACTGGCAGTTCTTAATGGAACTCAGCTTGATGAGTCTCTACTAACCTCCTAAAAGCTACAAAGTCACTTCTCTCTGGAGCTAATGCAATGGCAAGCGCAATGAACATTCCTATCCCCTTTACCATTATGAAAGTGGCTAAGGAATATTTAGTACACTCTTCTTGCTTCTCTGCTCCAACAACATGGACATTCCTCCTTAACGACCAACAATAGCCAATGGGCAAGAAAGTAGGCATGCCTCTCTATCTTTTGTAATCTACACTTAACATGAAGGTGGATTAACCAAATGGTTATAGGGAAAACCATTCATGCTCATACACCTCCAATGATCTATATAAGTACTCCAATAACAATACAATAAGGATTTTGGTCTCCAAAGAACTCTGATAAACTCTGAGAATAGAGAACAGTTGAGAAACACAAATAGCCAAAATGCTTCTAATGTGAGTCGATCCATAAAGTAAATTAAAAAGAAAAAAAAAATATTTTCCTTTCTAGGATTGTTCCATTGATGTGCTTCTCTAACTATAATTTTGTTTGTTCTCTTATATATTGAATGATTGGACGTTGTTATTCAGTTATTGTAGATGAACTATTGAGGTTTGTTTAATTGCTTCTACGATGTAATTCTATGGGGATTTTTGATAGAGGGTTTTAAGTAGGATTAATGCTAAATCCTGCCAAACATGCATAGTTGAGCAACTATTATTTAATTGACTTTTGTTATACTAATATTGATAAAATGATTGCACCATTTTGAAGATATCAATATCACTTGAGTGATTCTTGTGGAACTTTATCTAGAAGATTTATAGTTGAGCAAAAGTTATTTAATCACGGACATGCATAGTTGCGCAATGTAATTGAGATCACTTTTGAGATTTGTAAAGAATTTTAAGTGTTATCTCACATGCGATAGTTTTTTCTTAGTCTTCAAACAGATATTGTGCTTGTATGTGCAATTTTACTAAACTTTATAGATCGATATCATAAGCACAATCTCTATTTCAATATATCGCAAACAGAAATGCAACATGATACTCAGTACTGTGTATTGTGAGATTGAAATGTCTTCCTCATAACATCTCACAAAAATAGGGGAAAGAATTCAAGGGGAAGCGATAAGATATGCCATCGCCATGGATTAGTGGAATGCTCAGGTAAGAAATTTGATTACAGTAAAAATTTAATTCAAACATGAAATTTAATTAATTTTATGATTTTTTTTATTTTAGTCGTCGAGTCAAAGACATCGCTCATAAAGACTGAATTGTTCTACACTTGAAAATTTCATATCACCGTCAATATACAAGCATATTGAGTGTTTTGTTATCTACTAATTTTTATTATGTACTCTTTATTGATTTTATAATTTCTATCATATGAACTTAATTTCGATTTATTCTGTTATATAAACTTATGTTGAATTTAAAATTTTATTAATAATAAAATTCAGATATATCATTTAAATTTTTTTCAACTCTTGTTATGCATTATGAATATATTCATATTTAGGGGTTGTTGGCAATAAGCAAGATTTAACTCATATAAGATTAATAAATCCTATATATTTTAAGTTTGTTTACTAACCTACCAAAATACCTCTTCAAGTTGAAATTGTACAAAACTCTAATCTCGACATCATAAGCTTAAATAATTTCAATCATGATAGATTAGGCATGAACTTGACTTTAAATTAGCATTGAATTTAAGATCTAGCCAGTGATTCGCAAAAATAAAGACATTCAAGTTTTAATAAGTCAATTTTCAATTAATTTAAGCTTTTGGATATTGTTATGAACACTAT